AAAAGTTAAAGAACCATATGTACTGTACAGTTTTTGAAAAAACTATAATTCTGAATGAATAACCAAATATTTCAGAATCTTCAAAGTAATATTAGGTTATTTATGTATACATACTTGGTAATACCATAAAAAAACAAGGAATGATTGCACTCTCAATATTAATAACAATATGAAAAACCCCATTCATTAAAACAAATTCAAATAAAAACAAGTTATTGCAATGCTGGGATGAAATTTTGAATCATGTTTTATAAATTTATTTAATTTAAAATATATGCTCTCCCTCTCAAATTAGTAGTGTGTTTCCCCTCTACATCATACTTTTCGTGTTAGCAACAAAATCATGCCATCACTTATCTAACTTCTTTCGTGGGAAAATCTTTGAATTGAAATAACATGACTTCTGATTTTTATCAGAAGTGTGATACAGTGAATTGGGGTCTCCTGCCTCTAATCTGTCCACATCTGGTCTTTACTTTCATCTATCTAACTCCATTCTTGAGATTAAGGGAGGACGGACAGACAAACAGGCAGGAAGATGGACGACAGTGGGAATTTATAGGTCTACAATTTTTTCAATCTGCAGTCCAATTAACAACATAATACAGATAAGTAAAACACACAAATTAGGTAAAATTCACAAAACTTAGGTAAGTAGAACAGATTGTTAAACAAAATACTAAAGTTTATTATAGAGAATTATCTTTTATATTTTAAAACAAGAAAAATCATGAAATAAAAGTTCTTCCAGATCTAGATATGGAATTAATAGTGCAGAGGAGGAAAGATTGTCTGGACAAATTAAAAGAGGGATGCAACATAAAGAATTCCCAGTAGCTCTGTTTGAGCATGTGAAAGCACACAGTTCAAATTTAAAATGTCATTAAAATATTTTAAAAATAACTCTGTCAAAATAAACTAAAAGACATTTGGGAAGCTTAGTCTAGCCGTGATAACCTCACCAGAATCCATAATCATCATAGAATTCATAATTCTGTGTAATCATTGTTCATGACTTTTAAATTGTACAAATTTTTACTTTCCCGACTCATATATAACGGTGGGAAATTATGGCAATTGGTCAAAAATGATACCCTAAGATTTTTACATTTTTGGACTAGGGGAACCTTGAAATGTCAAGAAATGCAAAAAAAATTTGGGAGGTTTTTTTTCTGTAAGTATGGGTATGTTTGTTTGTCTGTTGGGGCACAATTTTGTTTATCCACTTTGAAGCTTGATCCTCAAATAAAAGGCTGACGTTTGACTGTTTTTAATAGTTTAAAATTTTTACCTATTGTTATTTGTTTTTTAATGAAGTTATTTCTTAAAACCAATGTAATGGGTACTTATGTGGTTGTGTAAAAAGGATTCATGGATAGATTCAAAAATTAAATATTTTTGTAAACAGTCTTAACTTCTAATTTGAAGAAAATATCCTGAGTTCATCATGAAAATTGTAAGATTTTACTTGTTATTAGCATTTACAGCTTTTTAGAAAACTTGTCCCTACTCTCAAAATTAAGTTTTTTGTCATTTTATAATAATTAATTTATACCAAAAGTTTTTAGATAAAATATCATAACAGATGACGCCACCAAAATTTTAAATGTTGCTGGGAAAGTTGAGCAACTCATTGCTGGTTTATTTATAATGATTCTGTCAACTGACTTCTGTAATATTTTACTATTTCAGTAATTGTAAAACAATTTCAGGCAGTAAATCAAATTATAAAAATTAGACTTTGTTTCATTTAGTATTTAAACTTACTTTGTTGTTTGTTTCTGGTTAATAAGGTAGCTTTATTTAATAAATTAAAAAACCTGTAGAAGCATGGAAGAATGTAGGATATGAAGGATTTCAATCAGGTTTGTCTAAAGAGTATGGTATGATTACTAGTGCAATTCACTAAATCTTATAATATAATTGAGATGGGTTGTTAATGATAATAATAATCTCAGATCCCAAATGGTTAGGAGTTGAAATTTGGTACACAGTTAGGGTACATCATGAGAACATACACTAAGAAGAGATTTTTTGAAATTTCTCCCCTGTAGGGGAGAGGGACATGATTAAGGCTTACCATGAAGAACTCGGCTTCTATTATACTATTTTAGATGCGGTTTTTTTGCATTTTTGATTGTGTTTTAATAGGTTATGCCATGAGAATGCACATTAAGACGGGATTTTTCAAAATTTCCATTGCATGAGAGCGAGAGTGAAGGATTACTCTGAAGAACTTGGCTTCTACTGTACTATTTTAGATGCCTTTTTGGTATTTATGCGGGAAATCAAACATATTTTTAGACCCTTCTAAAAATTTTCAATGATATTTAGTGTTCCATCGTATATAAAGTTGAAATGGGGAGCGCATGTGCATAAATTTGCTTTATTCAAACTCTTCATCTTAATGTTTGAATTTATATTTATGAATGTTTCTGGAAGATCCAGCTTATTTTTCAAATTTAGTAAACCCGAAGAAGAACCAGAAAAAAGGTTTATTATTCATCATTTACTGGTACTATGCACCAGTTAGTGGTTGCAGTGAGTCTTAATTATCGTTATTCTGGTGTGGTAAGCAGATATCTAAAAATTTTCTAATTAGTCTCAGAAGAGGGGGGACCTAATTCTTGCACTCAGTGAAAATGTGTAAGATTAGATATAATCTTAATCTTTGCTATCGTTACTTTTTGTCCAAGCAATGCCGGGCTCATCTTCTAGTTTACTATATGCATATATGTTAAGATTCAATCAAGATTTACTATAGAACAAATATCAAGATGTTTGTACAACAGTCGCCTACTTTCATCTATAATGCTCTGTAGACATTCTGAAAATTGCTTCTATTTTTATTAAAGGGCTTAAAATTGTTAGTGGTTGGAATTTCTTCTATAAATGTCATAAGTAAATTTTAGACACTTGAACTGATTATATACATATGTACTGTACTTTGGTTATTGACTTTTTTAAATATAAATGTTAAATTTTGGATCATAGTTTTAGTTATGGTGTAAATATACAAAAGCTATACTTAATATACTATCATCAGAAAAATAGTTTATGATTTTCTACAAAATTTAAATACAGTGCATTTGAACTAATCTGAACTTATCATTGTATATGGGGGTATTTTAGATTAGCTGGAATTTTGTACAGATTTATTGCTCTCAGTTGTTTTGCTTTAGAGCATTTTGGTAATGTGATGCTTATCAATTATATTCTTGTTTATTATTTTTGTACTTGTCTTGCTTTTAAGAGGTTTTTAGGTTAAAAATACAGTCTTGTAGTAGCATTTTTTAAAATTTGGTTTAATTTTTTTGGGTCTGGCACTATTGTACACTTACTGATAATTTAAATGTGTTTTTGGGCTTTTATGTGCACTATAAAGTGGAAAAAGACTGTAATTTACTTTAAGGCAATACTTGCATTATGATGCTGATATGGAAAAGTAAGTCAAAAAGAACTACAGATAACTTTGATATGTTTTTAAAAATTAATCCATGATTTAGTTTTTGTTTTTGGCTATAATATTTAACAGAAAAATTACAAAATTGGTTGGAAGTAGCAATAAGACACTGTACTTCATAGTGTTTCTTTGCAAATCACACCTAAATTCAAACTTTCCAGCATAAAAAAGTAAAAAAATATAAAGATTGAACGTTTTCGGCCACTAAATTTATCAGCCTTCCTCAGGAAATACAAACTGAAAAAAACCATTCTATAAATAGAACATAGCTGCATTATAAATTTTAAATTACCTTTTACGTGCTAAAAGGTAACATCAATACAGCTTTAGCACGGTATGCCAGCGATCCGGGGGTTTCCCCCTGTTGGGACCAGGCCAAGCTAATACATAAGGTCTTCGACAGGCAAAGTATAAAAATTTTAGAAGCAGTGGAAATCTACAAGGCAAGCAAGAGTGGAAACTGCATCAACACGGATGTCATTCATGTATCATCGGCATGGAAACACAATCTAGACTCATAATATACGTCATACACAATACGTCACAGCCGTTTTCATTCTTTTAAAATTTATAAGGCAGCTATGTTCTATTTATAGAACGATTTTTTCAGTTTTGTATTTCCTGAGGAAGGCCGATAAATTTAGTGGCCGAAAACGTTTGATCTTTATGTTTTTTGACTTTTTTTGCTGGAAAGTTTGAATTTAGGTGTGATTTGTGAATATACGGTTCTAGTTTATGGTGAGGTTGTATTTATAGTGTTTCTTCAACGTGTGCCTTTCATAGATAACCTGAATGACATCTGTCAAATGTCAAAAGGGCAATAATAGCTCTATTAAGTATATTATTGATGATAATTGTGGAATACCAGACATTTATGGATTAGACAAAGTCTTATCTAACCATATAAATGCTAGACTATCCAGCCTAATTTCAAATGTTATAACAAACCTTCCAATGACAAACTTAAACTAGCATTAAAATAATTTATCAAAATTGTCTATATTAAAATGCTTGTAGATCCAGAAAATCAATGTTTTTTTTTATATATATATCTGGCTCTATCTTCTCTAGGCATAGCTTAATTGTGTCTAAAGTTGTATTTTTTTTGACTAGATATGTTATATTGCAGTCATTGTTTTTTATTTATGGCTCTTCCTGTACTTTAAATACAATTAACTTTCTTATAAATCTCTGTTTGAGTTCTAAGTATCTTGCTCTAATTTTTGGTTATTATTATCTATTTTTAATATTCCTGTAATGCAAATAATAATAAAATGAACTATAAAAAGGTTTTGAAATATCTTATTGTATGCCATAAATAGAATATCATATTTGTTGATAAATATCTTTAAAAATAAGGTCAGCCTTATTTATTTTTTTGTGGAAATAAGAATCATTAATTTGATATAGTTCTTAAATGTTATTTTTTAAAGAAATAAATGTAATTAATTATAAGAAAAATATTAAATTGAATTAACTAACTAAAATATGATTTTTTTTTATAAAAAATTAATTTTAAAATTTTGAATATTTGCAGATGATTGTTAAAAGTGATGATGATTCTAATTTATCTGATAAATCAGTAAGCAAGTCTTTTATACCTTGTCAATTGTTTGCTGAAAAACAGCAATGTTTATGCCATTGTGAACAAGCACAAACTGAAGAGAATGTGCTTGAATTAGAACAAGGTTGGTATAAAGTTTTTGTAAATTAAACTGAAAATTTTTTAGTTATATGCACACAATTTTTATGTAGATTTAAGATTTATTGTGCATGATAACAAAGCAATGATGATATCAGAAATATATGACATAATTTGGCTTTTATGATATATAATAATATATACAATAAAAATGATGCCCTATTACAATATAAATACATCAACATAATATTTTCTGAGAAACAAAGAAAATTGTGTAAAGTATAGGCTAATATGTGACTAATTTGACATGAAAAATTGAGGCTAATTAAAGGCAACAACACTATTATATAAGTTTCAAATATCTATCTTTTTTATGCCCAGATGTATTTTTGATGTTTTAATTGCCTAGTTTCATTATTTAAGTAGTGTTTTTCTAAGATGTAGGCAACCTGCCAAAAAAGTGAAGTTCATTAGCATGATGAGAAAGCTTGTTTTACTTGGCAAGCTGCATCAATCTATTAAGAAACTGCTCTAGAAGATAATTGGGATATAAAACTGAGATTGCAAATGTAGTTTAATTGAATTAAACTAGTTTTACTTTCATAGAGTATTACAGAATTTCTACCAAGATGATATTTATTGCAAATTAAAATGATATATTATTATAATTATGACAGAAATAACAAAAATTATATAATAAATTACATACATATATACTATACTATATAGATATTAAATATCAAGTTCTGTTTTATTAGAGGAACTTTTTAAATTAGAGTATTCTAATTTAAAAATGCTAAAACTTTTAAAAAGCAAGTCAGAAATTTTTGGAGAAGTGAAGATTTCTGTATTAATTCAAAAAGTGTTTTAAAATTAAAGCTGATATCTGATTCCGGAGGCATATAATTTGTTGCTTTTCTAAACTACGGAAATAGTTTTATGAATAAAAATTCTTTTATTTATTAGACAAGGAATAAACTTTTTTTTTTTCTTTTTGACAATTCCATAAAGGATACTTAGTAAAAATATTGTTTCTAAAGAGTATTCAAATAACATGAAATGATATTGCCAGTTACCATTATATAACAATTACGCATTACGCATTGCCAGTTACCATATAATAACAATTTATACCATTTTATGTCAGTAATGACATGATACTAATTAATATTATTTAATGCCAGTTAATGGCTTGACTCGAGTGGATAAGTAGGAAAGAAATCAAGAGGAGAATTGGAATGGCAAAGAGGCATTTGGCAAAATGAAAACAATTTTGTGGGGACATCAAATTAGAATTGAGAAAACTGCTGGTCAAATGCTAAATCTGGAGTGTTTTCCTCTATGGTGCTGAAACTTAGACCTTGAGACAATGTGACATTAGGAGAATAGAGACCCTAGAGATGTGGCTGTGAAGAAGACTAGAGAGAGTCAGATGGAGTGATAAAGTTAGAAATGAGAATGTCCTAAGAAGAGTGAGTGAAAAAGGAGCATATTAGAGACAATAAAGAGGTGAAAAGCTAATTGGATGGAACACATGATTTGAAAGGAAGGCTTATGGAATGACATTATGCATGGAATGGTTGCAGACAAAAAGAAACAAGGAAGAAGGAGAATTAAAATGATGGATGACTTAAAAGAGGGTAGTTATAAGAACTAAAGATGAGCACTGGATAGAGTAGCATGGAAAAAGAGGCATTACTCACTGGACCTGCAGAAATTTAAATAAGAGAATTACCAGTCAAGTTCAGAATTTAAAAATGTGGAAATACTTTAAGACCATTTGACAAAAGTTTATACCATTTCCACAATTTAACAGTTCTTGTATATAATGTAAATATTAGCAGATAAAAATGTCACTTGATATCACTTACCATAAGCAAATGATTTTAAAAGCTATATATTTACTAGTGATAACGTATAAGAAATGCTATCCTTGAGAAATTGTTTGACATATTCCAGTATATCTTCTGTATTATTAAAGATACATTTGTATGTGGAACACAGTATGGGCTGTTAATTAATTATGATATCAAATTATGTTCACATTTATTTATAAAGAATCTAAGCAACATTCTGGCATGTCATCTGAATATTTTTCTTACACACATGTTATACTTGATTCATCATTGTGCATGATACTCTGTTTTCTCAAATACGCTTGAGATTCAATATAAGTCTTGGGGTCCAAAATGTGAACCCACATTATGAGTGAGTCTATATTTTATTGAATTTATATATTTTGACTGGCAGAGACATAATAGTAACTGATTACTCAGCATGTAAGTGGAAAATACATTAATTATTGTAATAACAGGTTATATTCTGTTGTATACTTCATTTTAATACATCTACATATAAATAAAAAATTAAAACAACCATATTAAATGCATAAATGTTATTCAAAAGCAAATAGCTTTAGTATTTAGTTTAAGTTAATTGCAGTGCAATGACAGTAAAAAGGATTATTGTTTAATTGAGATTAGCTACATAGAGCTTGATTTCAACTTTCATAAGACATTTTCATTTGTTTGATATCAGTTTTGCAAAGAGGGATCTTTCCACATTTGGAAGTGTCCCTCAAAGACACAATGGAAATGCCATGTTCCTGAACAAGATACACTTAGGATCAGTATTGTGTTCTGCAATTTAAGAGAAACTGTAATTGGGCATGTAGTTTCTGCCACTGTTTCTTTAACTTCAACATGAAGTAAAAGATGATGTTTTTGCAGTTTTCATCTTGCAACACAATACAACTTGAACCTCACACCAAATATGACATAAAAAGAAAGTAAAAACACACTGAGTGCAATGTTAACAACTTTTTATTTTCACTAGTGTTTTCAACAAACTTATGTTCATCATCTTCAGGCAAACAAAATTTGAAAATAGAACACAATTTACTTTTTTATCATTTGTAGGTATGTCAAAAAACTTAAATATTCAAGTAACATATTTTGGATACCAAGAAAGTTATTTCAAAATTTAAATTACAAATACTTTGTATATTTTCCTATACAACCATATATTTGAGTATTTATCTTTTAATAGTACATTATCACAAAAAAATAAAAAATGTTTTTTTACAAAATAAATATATATTTTTTAGGTATTTGAATATTTTGATTAAACAGAATTCTTATATGCAAAGTGCTTGTATATGCAAATCAACATGGTCATAAATAAGTTGATTATTAAGTATTATTTCCTCTCTGATTACTATTCTACAACAATCTCTTGCTGATTAACTTCACTTTATTGTCTAATTATCAATAGGGATTTTTTTTCTTAAAAAGCCAAATTTTCTAACTTGGAGGATTCAATGATCTTCCTTGAACCCCTACATATTCTATTAAGCCATGTTCTATCAGACCCAAAATGAACTTAGTTTTATGCAATGCTTTTGAAGGTGATATCCATTGATACATTGTTTTGAAGTATTGTTAGATTGCTATTCTGATTCAAATCAAAACGTACATATTAAATGTTTTTGATGGAGTGAATATATGATCTAATTCACAATATTGGTACATGCTTTTGAGTTACAATTTATCTTCAGACCAAACTCTTCAGACCAATGTTGTTTTTATATTTTTAACTATTTGTGTTGTTTTTTCCAAGCTTTGGTTGAGGTTGAATTAATATATAGTGGTGTTCAACTTCAAGTATAATGAACCTTGTTTATAATGAACTCTCAGCTATAATGAACCAATTTTAAAGGTGCAAATGAAACACCCATAAGAGCAATTTTATTCTTTTCCAGTTACAAGAAACCCATATATACCAAACTTCCATATATAATGAACAATACTTGGATTTTAAAGAATGAAAGTTACACTTTTAACAGATTATACATACAAAGAATACTCTCGAGTTATAACTGAGGTTTTTAAATAATGTTTTTCCCATAACATAATGGGAGTGACATGAAAGGGTTAAACAAAATGTAAGGGATAATGATCTAATATGGGAAATGTTGCTTAATTTGAGTATTTTTGCTTTTAATTAACTATACTGATGTAATTTTTAAGCAGATAGCCATGAATGTTGGACTTGTTGCGATCAGTACAATGAACACTCATTTCATAGAAAGGTGATTCGTATGCAGGAAGAAGACATCACAGGTGATGTGAGGACATGCAAAATGCATGCAGTCAGTGCATGACTACAGTAAAAAGAAGGCTTTAATTCCATACTGTATGCATTCTATTCATTTTTGCACTGGTATGCTTTCTTCATCCTTTTAAAGTACAAAATACTGTCTCTGTATTCTGAATTTTATGTCTCCTGGGTGATTTCTTGCGGAGTCATGATGAATAAACAATTGTTGCTTAAGTTTTGCACACCAGTGTAATTTCAATGCACACATTTATTTACCTAATTTTTCATCATAAATTTAAATTTTTATACTCTGTACTTGTTTTCTTACTTCACTAAGATATTTTTTGAGGTTCATCTACTGGCCCATTAGCTAATACATCTACAACAGTCGTAAATGATCGGGCTACTTATTGCTGTTGTAGATGTATTAGCTTAAGCTATCGGGTTTCAATGGTCGTGTGTATTTATGGCCCATTAGCAACGTCATTAACTAATGAAAATTCTTGAAATTTACAATGTCAAGAATTTTCATTTGTTAGTGCTGTAATTTAAATTTTAAATATCATTTCTCATCTATTATTAATGGTTAAATGATTTTATTTGATTTCTCACCCATTTAACATTTGGAAATTGAAAGTATGCTTTTCTGTTGGTTAACATGACTAAAAACGTTTGGAAGTAGTAAACTTGGGCTGCACGTTCACAAGGTGTCATAGTAAGTCTTTTAATAAAAGATTGGAAGTTGGATTGAAGACATTTAAAAACAGATATAGTATTGGAAGCTGAAAAATTGTTGGAGAAGCAGCTGCAGTAAACATAGACATGGTAGAAGACTGATTACAAAATAAGTGGCATAAGATTAGAGAAAGTTTCCAAGATTGTGTTATCTTTAATGTGGATGAAACAAGTCTTTTTTATAAGCTTATACCAAATAGGATGCTAAAATTTAAAGGAGAAAGCTGTGCAGAAGGAAAGTTAACTGAAGAAAGGATTAGTACAGTGGGTGATCGGTTAACGAACAGATTGGATAATGAACACCTTTGCGAAAGATTTTTATGTTCGGACAACGAACACATGATCGGATAACGAACACCCCACAGAACAAACACAAGAAGAAGCGACGTAAAATAATGAATACCGATTGGTCTTCCCTTGTCTTCGGGCAACAATTCGAAACTTTTTGGAGGTATGGGAGACGTTGACATCGACGCTCAAGCTGGTATATACCGATCGGATAGTATTCCTTCGAACTTTGAAACTCTCTCTTGTAATTCCAGCCTTTTATTTTTCTGACAAAACAATTCTTTTATGTATTCGCGAGACTGTCGGGTAGGCACTCGTTAAGTTTTGCATCTGTTTTTTTTTTTTTCGAAAGGTGAGAGTATAATAGCAAAGGTAGTGTGAGATTCCGAATTCGGATGTGTTTATATCATCTCATCATAATATCACATTGTAGTTCTACCTTCATTCCACGGTGTCATAAGATCACAGTACAGCTATACTTTTGTTTAATAACTGTCAACTTTTACAACTGGGAGCTAAACATCTGCTAAGTTCTCAGGCGTAATAACGACGCTTTCTCAGCACCTTTCGACCTAATAGCGCGATTTTAACAATTCAACATTAGACACGACAACAAAAGTGAGTCAGTCGTCACCAGTTCCTCGTTCGGACCACTCCCGTTATCCCTGTGCCTCGCCTTTGGATATTTCTTCGCCTTTGGATATTTCTTCGCCTTTGGATATTTCTTCGCCTTTGGATATTTCTTCGCCTTTGGATATTTCTTCGCCTTTGGATATTTCTTCGCCTTTGGATATTTCTTCGCCTTTGGATATTTCTTCGCCTTTGGATATTTCTTCGCCTTTGGATATTTCTTCGCCTTTGGATATTTCTTCGCCTTTGGATATTTCTTCGCCTTTGGATATTTCTTCGCCTTTGGATATTTCTTCGCCTTTGGATATTTCTTCGCCTTTGGATATTTCTTCGCCTTTGGATATTTCTTCGCCTTTGGATATTTCTTCGCCTTTGGATATTTCTTTGCCCTTGGATATTTCTTCGCCTTTGGATATTTCTACGCCTAAGAACTGTGTCTTCTGTTTTCTGAGTCCGGAACTGTCTTCTTTTGGGATTTCATACAAGGTAAATATCGACACGCGAACTTCTGTAAACTCTCTCTCTCAAAACGGGAAGAAACGTAATATCTTAATATCGTAATATCTTAATATCTTAATACTATTATATACTAAAGCGAGCAATGTATCTAATAGCAGCCCTAATGTATATCCTATCGTTAACCATTAAACAGTTGTTACGTTAAAAAAGCGTCTGAGTAAATCACTTCCGGTGCGCTGTCTCTCCTTCTATCTCGACTCTGATCGCTCCGTTACGCGACCGCTCGCGTGACCTAAATAACGCGGCTTCCGTGTCCGTCGAGACGCGGTGGTGTCATCCTGACAGGGCACCAAAGAGGTGCCGACCCTTCGGTCACAGTAGAGAGTGTGCAGAAGATGCCTAATGTGCTGGGCAGTATGGCGTGAACAGGTCTACAGTAGGCCGCAGTTCAATCTTATCTAAGAAAAATACTGTATAATCAAAAAGACTGAAGCAGCTAAAGGAGTAACAAAAATTACATCTGAGAAATAAAGAACATCGAACAGTTCATAATGGAACCTGAAACGGATCTGACGACAGAAGAACGCCAAGAACTCTTGAATGAAGAACATCAAGAAACTCGGCGAGATGTTTTCTTCTGAAAAAGAGGATTAATACCGATATCTGTTATTAAAGATCCTTTGAAGAAGTGGGATGATGTCAGAACGACGGTCTTAGAATGGCATCCAAACCAGGTTGAGGCTTGGGTATTTCTACAATTGCAATGCTATTAATTACTTACGAAAAATCCTAAAGAAGAGAGAAGAGAAATCTACATTAGACAGATTCTTTAACCCTTTCAAACGGAAAAAACATGACTAATAAAAATGCAAGACTGTGTACTGTACGTATGTATTTTTATTACTACGTATAAATAAACGTAGTAAGAAAGTAAATATTTTTTTATTTTGGGGGTCTCCAGAACGAATTAATTAAATTTCCATTAAAACCTATGGTAAATCGATAATCGGTTAACGAACAATTCGGATAGCGAACAAAGTCTTGGAACGGATTATGTTCGTTAACCGATCACCCACTGTATTCTACTAGCTGCAAATCTTGTGGGAATGGAAAAGAGAAAATTGTTAGTAATTGGTAAATCAAAAAATCCAAGATATTTCATAACGATGGCTACTGGCAAATTACAAATCTAACTGAAAGGCTTGGATGACCTCTAACATCATTTTTTGTGGCAAACTGTGAGAATGGGATGAAGAACTGAGAAGAAAGAAACAAAAATTTTATTATTGATTGACAACTGCCCCACACATTTCGATATCAAAAATTTACATTGCATTACACTGGTGTTCCTGCTGCCCAATACAAGTTAAAAACTACAGCCCTTAGATCAAGGGGTTATACACAGCTTAAAGAGCACTTATTGTCAAATTTTTCTTACAAAAATGGGAACCATTATAGATAAATAGCAAAGAATTGTTTTCTATAAATTTTCTTGATGCAATAAAGTTTGACCATATGGCATGGCAAAATGTATCAATGAAAACTATATTAAATTGTTTTTGACAAACTACTTTCTACAAACTAATGGAGAAGAGTTAGATTTAGATGACAATATTCCAATCAACGAACTTTTGAAAAGTAAACTTACGAATTATGAAACAAAAGGTGTTCAAGATGTTCTCCTTCAACAGTTACTGGATGCATTATCTGACTACAATTTTGAAGAATATGTCAGGGTTGATAACAATGTTATTAGTAGGGAACTGTTGATGATGATGATATAGCTTTGGTGTCTTCCAAAAATAATGAAATTAGTGAGGATGATGATACAACATACGCAGATGGTGTCAATGTTTCAATAATGCCAGTTTATGAAGTTTTGTAAAATGCTATTATTATTCGAGAATTTTTACAAATGCATAATACTCCACAAAGTATATTAAATAGTTTTTCTGAGGTGGAACTATATATTACAGAATACTATGTAACTAGCAAAAATCAACAAATAAAAATAACAGATTTTTTAAGTAACCATGTGCATTTATATTGATGATTTAATGCAAAACTTATGTAATAATTTGTTACATTTTATCTTTGAAACATTAAACTTTAGTTTTATAAAATTAGACTATGTTTTATTTCTTACCCTGATGGTCCATACAGGTTCATTATGAGCAGACACTACTGTGTAAAATTGTATGATGCTAAATTTCAATTGTAAAAACTGGATAAAAGTCTTAAGATTTCTAAATAAAGCATTTTAATACTTATGTCTTGATTTAAAATTCTATTCTGGAGTTTTATGTATTGGTATCTGATTTAATTTTATCACTAAATCTAACTTTATAAAATAATTTTCAATATAAAAATAAGAATTCTGTTATTTTTTATATTGCATATTTTAAGAGGAACTAGTTAAACTTTGTCTTTTCATATACTTTTGATTCTTTTATAACATGTTTTTACTTTTTGAATTGCACGAAAAAATTTAAAATCTATATTTTAAAATTAATAAAAATGCTAAATTATAGGATCTGAAGATAGTTGTGATGAAAATAGAAAAACTTCTATTACACAGGTATGTTATGAATTAGTAATTAAATTTGAATGATTTAAATGATTTGTGCATAAATTAATTTGATGCATAATTTGTAGGATTATATTTCCGGGACCACAGAATTGTCTTCCTATAACATTGATCCTGGAGCAGGAATCAATGAAAATGGTGGTGAAGAAAGGAGCATTTGTCATTGTGATTCATGCAATGAAAGAAGGTATTTATTTTAATTTCTGAATCAATAATTATAACATATACAGTGCAATTTCATTATTTACTCTTAAATTATTGTTTAATACAAAAGTTTCTCAACCTTTCTATACACTATGATCAATATCAAAAATTGATTTTTGTTAATGACAAATTTTATGGTATAAATTTTCAAAGTAATTTTTTTTTAGTTTTACTATTCTTCATATAAATGTTATAGCAGATTTAATTTTCCAAAATTTTGAATCATTCTAAAGCTGTGTTAATATTGATATTGACTTTATTAACATCAGATTAAAGTTATATCATTTTTAATATAGTGCGCACTAGATTACTGTATATCCAGAGGTTTAAATTACTCAACAGGCTCTCTAACAAGTGGAATTATTTGAATCACATTTTTGAAGCTATGGATTACTGTACACAACGTATTAAAAATTGTAATTGTGTAAATTATTGCATCACATTTGTTGTCTGTTACTTTTTTAGAATTATTTTTTGGTTTTTATTTGACAATTCCTGCAGCCACTCACACCAACATATACAAAAACTCATTTTGAAAAAATAAATTTAAAGATTTGAATAGGAATAAATCTTGCTCTAAACAGATTTAAAAAAATAGATCCACTGGGTCTATTTGAATGTTTACAGAAATACAATATATCTATACATAATGATAGTTTTTTTTTATTTATTTCATAGTATGTTTTAATAACAGTTAAATCATTCTGTGATTAGTTTTGATTAGAAATAGTTTTAATTAGTTGTTTTACAAAAGTAAAGTATTGAAGAATTTTGCAGAATTGTTGATAACTGATTAAAACGTTTATAATGGATAAACTGTTTCTAGATTGGAAATTCTCAGAAAACATTTTTCTGTGGCCTCATGTGATTAGTACATTATGTTCATGTACTTTGATAATTAGAATACATCTGATTAGTTTTAACTAATCATGGCTACACCTATGTGAAAAATGTAATAAGGATCACATTTTGACATTTTGAACAGTTCTTGTAAATTATTCTGTTTAATTTTATATAAAACAAAATATTATATGAAGTAAATTTACATTGAGAAACTTTTGCTTTCCAACTATTTTATTTTGTTTTTTTGTTTTGTTTTTGGCTATAAAGCAGATGGGTACGGAAAAATCTTAGTGAACAAGCAATTATTTATTGTGACATCATCACAATGCCAGGTTGCAATTTTTAATCATAATTTTAATTTATTTAATTTAAAATATATGCTCTCTACCTCAAATTAGTAGTGGCTTACCCTGTACATAATACTTTTCCTTTAACAACAAAGTCATGTCAATCATCTGTCCAACACTCTCTGGGAAAAATTTTTGAATTGAAATAACATTACTCCCAGTTTGCATTAGAAGTTCATGTATAGTTAATTGGGCCTCCTGTCCCCAAGGTTTCCATATTTGGTCTTGTCTTTCATCTATCTAACTCTGTTCTCAAGATTAAGGAAAGACAGCCAGACAACAGTGGGAATTTATAGGTCTACAATTTTTTCAAAGTGCAGCCAATAAAAGACTTTGTTTACATTTTATTGCAATAGAGCTTACTTGAGCAATTCTTACCAAAGAGGAGATAAAGGATAATGCAATATGAGACCTGCTTTCCATTCCAGAAATGCATTCTACTTGTGGAAGAAACATTGGGAGTGTCATGTTGCCAGTAGAGGAGTCTATTTTGAAGGGGATAAGGTGTAATAAACTTGAACATAAGTAATAAAAGTTTTTATAGCAAAAGTTCAGTTTTTTTTAACTATGTGCACATATGCATGTGTATGTACAGTGGTGCCTTGTACTTCAAGTTTAATTTATTCAAAGATGCTGTTTGAAATCTGAATCAATTTTTTCCCCTTAGAAATAATGGAAAATGAATTAATCTGTTTCCATGCCATAAACAATACCCATTTTGATAAACAATAAATACACATTATTTTAGATAAAAATAAAACAATTAAATGTCATAAATGATATATTAAAACATGAAAACAATAAATAAAATATGCAATATTATGTATAATAAAATGAAAATTGCATTTACTGTACCTCAGTGGCATGCCATGACATTTGACAATAGGGAAGCTGTGTTTCTGTAAGAAGCCGACATCCAGGGGCAATTAGTCAATTGCGCATCAGTGATGGTCTAGGGCAGAGGTGGCCAACAGTTTTTGCCCCCGGGCCGAATTGGAAAGAAAACTTTTTCCATGGGCCGAACCAGAGCCTGCCTAATAAGATTTTGAGGTGGTGCGAGATCTCATTGTGGTGTCAGCCCGTAGAGACTAAATTGTACAGAACATAGAGATTACAGATACATTTTTCACATTATCATGCTTTATGAACATTCTATGCTGTACTTACAAGATTTGTAATGGAGGGTTAACTCTAAACGCACAGTGAGTTTTTGACCTTTTTTTTTTTTAAGGCATCAGAATTTTTCATCAAGCTATTTGGACTTCAGTAGCTAATATTGAAAGATTGATCGCGGGCCACATAAATTCATTAGACGGGCTGTATGTTGGCCATGCCTAGTCTAGGGTCCATTCATATTGTTTATTTGATAAACCGGTAAAAACCGAAGACTTCTCTAAATGCATTTTTAATATCACAATTACAATCCAAATTGCTAGCCACAATATAAGGACTTACAATTGAAAATAAAATAATAATAACTTACTTGGTAAAATAAAATGTGTGGTGGATGTACTGGTACATATGTGATGCAAAATATTCTTCAATTGCATGAATATACTTTTAAAGAAAATTATAATTAAATATAGCTTTGTAAAGAAACATACATAAAAATATAAAATTTCTTTACTTTTTAAATCTTAAAGCAATGCACTTAGTCAAATAACTCCCTACAAGTGGCTAATGGGTGGAATCGAAGACGGTTGCAGAGCATGCATACACGCGGACTGCCAAATCCCCAGGGTGCTGATACCGCTCAATGTCAAATACTTCTTTTGTTGCATCACTAGTATATCTTAAAGGATGCGACAGGGATGTTGTAGATTTTAAATGTTTCTCACCATAGCTGTAAAAATCTAAATATGTTAAACTTAATAGTCATTTGTTTTAGGACCAAGTGTCCTCGGAAATTTCCAAAATTTACAACTTTTCGGTCACTCTTGTTGAACTGGAAAAATTTTTGTCTTTATCACATTAATAATACGAAGAAATCAGTCTCCACTGTACTCGGCTAGAGATGGTTCGGTTAAGCTTTTGTTTAAGTAAAATTTCGGCTCTCATCAGGATTTTGTTTATGTCCCCAATTCCCTAATCACTTAATTATTTAACTACTACTTAAGTAGAAATAAGTCAAAACCAGTTACTTTGTATTCGAATATTTGTAGTCTTGGGAAAAAAGTGGAAAGACAAATTTTTATCACAAACAGATACATAAATTGTAAATTTAAGGAAATAAATTCTAGAGCTTTTTCTGTACCTCATGCATCTCTCTCATTCATTAAATTTAGTTGAAAATGATGCTTTCAAAGTAATAGTTAATTTTTTAACATTATACAAGAATTGTACACATTTTTTTTCTACATTTTCTTAGAGATGAGATATAAGAAATCTTAATATCACTGGTTTAACATTGAAATCCGTGAGTAATATAAAATCGAAGAGCGGAATAAAAATATCAAATATTTTAATGGATTTTTGTTAACTCCCGTCAACTATACAGAACTATCGTAAAAACATACCAGTAAATTCTTTTCGGTTGGGTTAAGTTATAAATCTACTCTCAATTCATGTAATTGGGTGAGGGTGGCCAAATACCTAGCAGGCAAGCGGCTAACAGCCCAGAACCGGTCCTGGATAGAATTGGATGCAGTATACGTGTAGCATCCACCCGAGATCCTAGGCTTCCACCAGCTAAACTGGGTGAGGTTGGTGCTCTGTAAAGCGCATGCGCGAATCTGGCTTTTTGGATGCCGCCGATACAGCGCTTCCATTTTGCCACTAATATTCGAATATACAATAGCGATCTTATTTTTTTTTTCACATGTAGTATAGAAATTTGTAATAAGATACATAATGCGGTTATAATAAAATATTGTGCGATTATTTTTGTATAATTAAAATTAATATGTATTTTCCAGTGGCATATTGTCATCGGAAGCGGAGGATGCACCGCTTCGATGACGGTATGCCACTGCTGTACCTTAGTGAGGCATGGTAATGATCTGTTTCTTCAGGTCACTATACTACTTGCTTGGTTTTCTCTCAAATAATCTTCTTAAAGATGATAACACTAGCTCAGTGGTTCCCAATTAGTTTTTCCTGCGTACCACTTCAAGAAAGAGCTCAAACTCGCGTATTCCTTATAGCAGAAATTAATATTAATCCATACTAATATTATAAATTCAAACGTAATTCTGTCTGTGTGTTACCTTTTCACGTCTAAACCGCTGAACAGGTTTTAAAATTTGGCACAGAGATAGCTTGCATGTTGGAGATGGACATAGGCTACATTTTACTGCGAGAAAATATCTTACTCCCACGAGAAAATTTGATATAATGCGGGCGAAGCTATGGGTAGACAGCTAGTGATAAATAGAACAAGGTTTTTTTTACATTTATTTCCTTTAAAATACAATTCTAATAATAATGAAAATAACGTAAGGTTATTTCATTTTGAGATGACAAGTGTGCATGATTTTCTTTGCACAACTTTGTAAAATCTGGTTGCTTTTTGGTCAGCTTCAGTCTCGAGTCATCTTCGAGTCGAATCTGGTGATGATGTTTAGTTTTCATGTTTGTCACAGCTGAAAATCCGCTCTCGCAGAGGTATGTTGTGCAAAATGGTAGTAAATATTTTATTCCCATTTTGCTGCCATGATGATAATGATAATTGTACAATTAACACAAATTGTGTTAATTGTACAATTTTTGTTTCTTGCGTAAGAATTTCATTTAGGTATTGTCACAAATGCATTTCTTTGATGAAATTTCAAGAATATTTTTAGTTATAAATAAA